GGTACTTACAGAGCTTGTTGAGCACTTGCTTTCGGGGATTGCAGCATCACCCTTTATTTCATCTCCCTCCACACTTGCCATAAGAGCATAGTTGTCTTCCTCTTCCTCCTCCTCAGAAGAATCTTCTGCCCAGTTCTCATTTTCAGCAATCATGGCAGAGGTTTCTTCTTCTTTCTGCACCATCAACATTTTCTGCTTATTCCACAGCATCTTCTGCTTGTAGAAGTTAGCATCTTTCTTCTTTGGGAGGCGGCAGTCTTTGATCACATGTCCAGGCTTGCCGCAATTATAGCATTTAGGAGCTTCTTCTGCTGATGATGCCTTCCTAGAAGATCTTTGATCATGGTTCTTCTGCTTGTAGTTTGAGGAGGAAGTTCTTAGCCTGTTGGAAGAGGTGTTCTTCTTAGCAAATCTTTTGGCCAGTAGTGCCATCTTCTTCTGTAAGTCAGCTAGCTCAGCCTCTAGATCAGATTTGTCATCATCACTCTCATCATCATCTGATTCAACCACCGCCTTCTTCTTTTTCTTCTTTAGTGAAGTGGTTGTTCTTCTTGGCTGAGCCTCCATTACTAGAGCTAAGGGGTTTGTGGTGTGATGATCCTCAGCACAGGCAACCTCTTTGACAAATTGTTACAGATGTTCATAGAGTGTGCAGAGGTCAATTTCGTCCAAATCTATCCGAGATCTGACATCCTTCACTGTCTTTTCCCATGCAGGATGCAGGCTGGATAAAAATATAATATTCAGTTCCAGATTGGACCTGAATACTTTGATCTTTCTGAGTTCATTTACCAGTTGAACAAGTCTGTTGTAAGTCTCATTCAATGGTTCTCCTGGACCTGCTTTGAAGGAGTCATAAGCGATGAGAATCGTAGTCTTCTTTGTTTTGAGGCTGATGCTTGTGCCTTGTAGCAGCTTCTCTATTTCATCCCACATTTCCTTAGCTGTCTGCATGCTATCTATGAGAACATAAACCTCATTTGGTATTGCTTGAAGGAGGTACGTTTTGGCCATAAGATCACCACGAAGTCTGAGCTTGTCAGCTTCTGTGTATTCAGACGGCACTTTTCTCCTTATTTCTGGAAAAATAGGAGGATTGTTCTCTGGATCTCCACCAACTGAAATCAAGAGTTCAGCTGGTCCTTCAAGCAAAGATTCAAGCATTGCAGAAGAGTTCTCTTTGTGCTCTATAAAGTTTAGAAATCTGTTCCTCCACATTTGATATTCTCCCTTCCTGAGGCTAGGAGGGGTACTGCTGTTCCCTTGTGCATTGTATTCTGAACCCATTGCTGTACTAAACTGACCGTTCGAGAAAATTGATCAAAAGATTTTCGGAGGCAGAATCTCGAAAAATCAGATGTCGAGATCTGAATATCAAAATCTCAGATTTCGATAAAGGAGGCCCGGTATCGAGATTTGGGCTCGAGATTAAGGATCTCGAGATTAGGGATCTCGAGATTTCAAATTTCGAGATGCTGATCTCGAGATTTGAAATGTCGAGAAGTTAATCTCTCGAAATCTTAATCTGATAAGTCAAATGTCGAGACCAGATGTCGAATCCTTTTCTCGAAATCAAGATTTCGAAATCCTAGATGTCGAAATCCTCAATGTCGAAATCCTGCAACCTGTAAAAATCAGATAAACAAAATCTGAAGATAGTTTCCTGTAGAGTTGAATGTCGAGATCTTCTGGTAAAGTTTTCAGCTCGAAAAACGTAGCAGAACCTGTGAAGAAGTAGGATGTCGAGATGCCTAGCTCGAGATATCTCGAAATCTAAAATTGCGTAAAACACAAACTGAAGTATACCCTTTGATCGCTTTGAAAAGGCGATTCCAAAGGTGTAACTTTTACAACTTTTGAACAAGAAACAAAATTACAGAGCAAAAAATCGACAGAATGAACTTCGTTAACAAAAACAGAGTATTCTGCAGGAGTTCTTCTGATCGTTCTCGATCGGCTCTGATACCAATTGTTAGTCCCTGTTTCTGTAACAGCAATGAATAATCGATCTAACAAGGAAGATTAAACGTAAAGATGAACACAGAATGAATCACCGTAAAACCTTCTTTGATAAACCGTGGAACGTACATCAGAATGATAAGCGTAAGGCTATGAATAATAAGTACGACGTTCAACCTTTTCCTAAACCTCGACTCCCTTTTTATAGGCGAGGTTTAGGTTAGGCGTACCAGGCTTTTGGCCTGTTTAAATGGGCCTAACACTTGGCCTGATTTCTATCTAATTTATGCACTATTTAAATACAAGGATTAAATATAAAGCTAATCTATGACCAACTTGATTCACAATTAAATATCTCTAATAGATGTACTCCTAATCTCTACTTTAATTTGTTCTTTGGTTGTGTGTATTCTGTATTCTGTAGTCCTACTCGTGTTTTGCATTATCTAAACCTGGTTATTGTTGATTTACTCCATTGTTATTAACGACATCATTCTGAAATTCTGAAATTACTTCATTCATTGTGACCAAATTGTGGGCTTATACACTGTTACATCAAAAAATAAAGACCTACTCCTCTATGCAAAAATATGGAGTATTTATACATGGCCTTGCAAAAAAATGTTTTAAACTATACTTCAACAACAAAAATCAAAACTGCTAGTGTTTAACCCTTTTATACAGTGGTCCCTTTCTTTATGCATCAACAGTTGCTCCTTCCTCCACCCCTTCTTGGTCCATTGTCCCTTGTTGCAAGTAGTTCATACATTCCCACACTAGTAGTGGGGGAGGAGCCACTGAAACTGGCAGCATGTTAAGCCTTTGTAGTTTCTTCTTGCCTATGTATACTTGTGAATATGCATTGCCCCCCTTAACCTTCATTACTTCAATCATGCATAAATGTAAGCTTAGAAATACATGATTCAAGGAATGATGATTGTATGCAATGAATGAATCATTGCAGTTCTGGACCAGTTCAGAAAAATTTATTGTTGAGCATGTATCCTTTAAAGACTGAATAGCCCAGAATAGGCCCAAATCAAGGATATTCATATCTGGGCTATTTGATGGTTGATTCATTAGTTGAACATCCCTCCCCATCTTGTGAACTGCCAATATGAATTCATTATCATCTTCCTTGATATGTGGAGTTGCATTGTCTTGCTGGATATATATTGGCTTGTCATCATTTGGTGACCACTTTTCATGAAGTGCAGGCAGTAGTTTGTTGAGAGGTTTTCCCTAAGTCTGAGAGGCGCATGTCATCTACGAATCCACCATTGTTCTTGGCTCCAATCTCGTCACTCTCTCTTCTATTTATAGAAGTGCGAATATTTTGGAACTAATCTGGCTCCAAATCTAAAAAGTTGGCGCCATTATGTTGGCATTTTTCCCATTTACGAATTGCTACCGCGTTTTCTTTTTTTGGGTGTGCGAATTGCCAATAGGGCTGAATGTATGGCCTTTACGCTTTGCTACAGTACTTAATGTATATGGGGTCCGGTTTTTTATACTCCTTTTGTAAAGTATTCCTCAACTTTTAATCATCTACCGTGTTTCTTACTTTCTTCTTACTTTATCTACAGTACACCTACAATTTTTCTTAAACTACTACAAAAGCCTAGTGAGTCAAGTAATTGATACGGAGGGAGTATTTTATATTGTACATTTTAAATGAATATTAAGTTAAAGCTAAAGGTTATTGAAGAGAGAAAGAATAAGAGAAAAAAGCACAAAATAATCATTCTACAGGTTGCAACTAATTACCAAAATATTGGTTGTAACATGCCTTTGGTACAACCATCAATGGATGTAGGAATTCCCGAACATACAAACACATACATATTAAAATTTTGGGGTAAATTATAAATATTATTGGGAGAGAAAAATTGAGGGGACGGTGACCCCAATTTGACTCCAAGTTTGTTAAAATCCTAAATTTTGAATCAAATCGGTAGATGATTTTGAAAATCAAATCGTAAAATCGAATCACAAATCATAAGAATTTATCAAACATATCTTAATAAGTACTACCTCTGTCCCAAAAAACTTTTCCATTTCAATAAATTTATACCATGATTTTGATTAGTATAATATTATTAAAATTACAAATTTTATACTTTTATGAGAGTACTTTTAACAAAGAACATTTTCATATAACTTTTATATTATAAATAGTTTCCAATAAAAAGATATAATTGATCAAAGTTTTGAAATTGACAGTTTTTTTGGGACGAAGGTAGTATAAAATAAAAAAATATTAATATTAAGTTGCAAGTTAATGGTATTATATCATTTCCTTAAATAAAACTATACCTACAAGGTCCAAAACAACACTTATAAACTATTTTAATAATGTAAATGTAGTGAATAATAACATTAAACATAAAAAATTAAACAACACAAGAGTCCATTACTTTTTAGATATACTATTGATATTATAATTAATTAATGTAATTATGTATCAATTTGTAGTAGTTAATTTTAATAAATTTGAATCATTTTCACTAAAAAAACTTATTACGATTTTGCTACGATTTTAAATGATTCTACACGTTTTTTGTATGATTTTTTACGATTTTGTACGATTTTATGATTTTACGATTTTACCTACGATTTGAATAGATTTATTAATGTAGAATCATAAAATCATACGATTTTACGATTTAAATCGAGATTTTAACGACCTTGTTTGACTTCCTTTAGTCCATCACGGGGTAATATAATTTGTGAAAATTTAGCTTAACATCACGCAGATTAATTTCCCAATAATCCCACGTAAATTGGGCTCACTACAAATGCCCAAGTTTATTGCGGCCCGGATCAATTATGATGTCAACAAACTCACGCTAGACACATCGCGCAGATTTATTTCCGAACGTGACATGTCAGAATCTCATTGGTTTATGTGACGCTCCCTACGTGTCCTCTACGGTTTTGACTTGCGTATTTACTGAAGCGCCAAATTAAACCTCTATTATGGCAGCTTTAATTAATTTAATTTTTTTAATTTAATTAATTAATACTTTCACACTTCTCAGTTAAAACCCTGTTGACCTTCGGAAACTGTCTGCGCTGCTTTTCTCCGATCTATCTTCAGGGAGGGAGAATCAACCACAAAAAATCTTTAGGTGAAACCTCCATTTATATTTTTGGATTTTCATTCCGTATGTTTTAATCTTTGGATTGGGTTACCGGTTGAAGAATCTGTCCTTGTCGTGAAAACTTCAATCCTGGTTTGTTGACATTTTGTAATGGGTGGAATTCATATAATGATTTTATCTTTTTGAATAAAGTTGAATCTTTTCTTTACAGATGAATATTTAAAGGTGGGTTTATATAAGTCTAATTGTGTAAGATTCTAATGACGCCGTTTCTACTTCAATTTTGTTCATATTGATCTTGAAGTTTAACATTTCGCTTTGTGCTAGAGCTTCTTCTGCCGAGGGTGAAGCAGAAAAGAACAAGAACCAGGGCTACCAGTCTTGACTGTTTCTAAGGATGAAGAATATCGAGCGCCTGGCGAATATACTTTTAACAGGTCTATTTCGTTCTCAGAATCCCTTTACTTTGTCTTGTGTAGAATCTTGGGATAATTTACTTTCTTAACTGCTTGTCTGCTTGGGAAAATAGCCCTCTGGTTTCTATCTTTAAAGAACCGAGTACCAAACAAAGTGAAATGTTTAGTTTGTTTTTAAATTTCTCTAATTAGGAGTACCACGATTCCCCTAAATAAGGGTAATTAATCGCCATATTTTGGCATTAATGACACAATTGATAATCCTATTTAGGGGGAAAATACAGTACTCCTATTCACTGCAATTTCTGTTATTATTACTGAGGACTTGTGGTTATCTAGGTCTGATTATATTCTTTTTTTTTATAAAAAAGATGGACATTGTGATTATGATTTTAAAGTGGGGCTGTGAAATGCAAAGTGATGCTCATAGACTAATTAGTAATTACTTAATTACTGTAAATCATATTGACAATAAGATATTAAGTTTAAAAGTTAAATGTAAAATGGAGGGAATAAAACTAAGGAGGGAATTTCCTAGTGTTGCAATCTTAGATGATTTTAATTAGTCGAGTTATTTTTTTTCCTCACGTGCTGGTAGATATCAAACCAGCAATTGTGGTCGTATGCAGTATGCATGAACCTAACCGTAGGTCTCTGAGGGTGGATGTGCTTACTCTTGTATGGAATTGGTGGGAGGATGTTTGAGAAAGTGAGAACAATTCGCATACGGCCAATCAGGGAACATTGTCCTGTAATATGGACTACTAGTTTTTTTGGTCAAATGTCATGGTATAATCTGTTCGGAAGAATAATAAAAAGCTAGTCACTAGCGATGCTTCCACTGGTTGTTGTGTGATTTCTTTTTGTTTTCAGGTTTGACACTGGCTCCACTGGTGGTAAATGTAGATCCAAATCTAAATGTAATTTTGACAGCTAGCCTGACAGTGTATGTTGGTTGCTACCGATCTGTTAAACCAACTCCACCTTCAGTACGTTTTGTGATTCCCCTTTTGCAGTTTTTCTTTAAAAAATTAAACAAGGTTTACAAAAATATGTAACCCATTGATAATGATGCCTAAATATTTGTTTGTAGGAATCAATGTCCAGTGAACATGCAATGCGGTTTCCCTTGGTTGGGAGTGCAATGTTGTTGTCACTGTTCTTGCTTTTTAAGTTCCTATCTAAAGACCTGGTTAATGCTGTTCTGACATGTTACTTCTTCGTCCTCGGCATTGCAGCTCTTTCGTATGTTCTTTTAGTACGGATCAGTCCACTAATGCTTAATACTTTATGTAAATAAATGAATATTTCAATCATAATCCCTGCCTTTAAATTTGCAGAGCAACACTGTTACCTGAAATTAAACATTTCTTGCCAACAAAGTGGAACGATGATCACATTGTATGGCGTTTTCCATATTTTCACTGTAAGTCTCCTAATAGTTAAGCTTATATTCTATCTAGAAATTTTGCAGTCTTCTTATACTTGTTTACATAGTGCTTAAAATCCTAGCAGTGTTTTCTTGATAGAACAAAATAAGTACATCCTTACTGGGTGCTTATCTTAAGCCCCTTATTGATTTATACTGTCTGAGTGTCTTCTGTGGCATGTTAATTAGTAAACTGTATATGATAGCACTTAGCAGGGGATGAATCTAAAGTGTCACTTTTCTGTGACATTTTATTACTGCAATACCATTACCATAAGGTGTGCTTATAAAAGTCTTAGTAACATTAATATATAGCATCTACCCCTTAGTAATGCATAGAAGGACTATGACAAGTGTCAAGGAGAATAGTAGAGTTGCATCCTCTTTAGATGCTTAACAATAGGACTATTTCCATATATGAAAGCTAGACTCTCTATTTTTAGTTTTTTGACATGAAATATGAAAAGGACCCTAATATAATCTTGGTCTAATGAAGAGTTGGGTTCAAGGTTCTATTTGAACATTTACAAAGGTAGGTTGAAGACACAAACTTGTTAGTGGTGGCTTGGTAATTGCTATGCGAGTCTGTGCTGATACCTTCTGCTTTCTATTATTCCATATTCATAATTTCACATGCATTTTCAAATTCAATTTGTCATTCTTGTATTTTCAATCACAATTTCCATATTTTAAAAAATATTAGAAATTGAAAAGATCCATAATTCACCGACTTAAGACAATTTGTTTCAACATCTAAAATTCCAAATTTCTTTTCATCTGCGTGAAAATATGCAACACCAATACCTGATATTTCTCCTCACATTTCTTTCTCAGCTTTGGATGTTGAGTTCACAAGGTCTCAGATTGTAGCTGCAATTCCTGGAACTATTTTCTGTGTATGGTACGCAAAGCAAAAGCATTGGCTAGCAAACAACATATTGGGGCTTGCATTCTGCATCCAGGTTGGTTATCTATGCATCCCTTTCTTGGAGTTGGGTGCTAGCCTGTTTCTGAGCTGTGCAATCATGCAGGTTTTTGCATTTCTTGTGCTGTATTAGCACAATGTTAGTTATTACTTATTTCTGTTTGCTTGACAAAGTTATATTGTTTTCCTTCTAGCGTTTTGTATATCTAAAATTCTAAATATAGATCAATTTTTCTTATTCGCCCTTGCACTAATATTCAGACCACTGCATATCAGTTACTTACTCCCTCTGTCCCACAAAATAGTGGGTATTTACTTTAGCGTTGTTTTTAAGGAAAGTTCAGAACAAGCAAAATGTGAATTTTTATTGTAAAGGTTCCCTTCAAATAAGATTTACGTATTCAAATCATATTAGAGGCTAGAGCACCCCCATTCATCCTACATTCCTACTCAAATAATCTGTTATTTTCTGTGGTCTCCTACTGTCACATAAAAACTCTAGTGAACCTTGAACTCTAAAACTCACGTCCGTTGCAGGGCATTCCAATACTTCCTCACCCAAAAAAATAAACGGTCAGTATGTCAGAACATTTCAACAGCTCTACTCAATTGCCCTGTGAGACAGGTGCCAAATTTGTTTGGCACTGCATCACACCTTAAAGTATTCACTGCTGCCTTTTCTAATCTCTATATCAATCTAAATTTGAATTTTGATACCATAATATTTATCATAATAATGCCCAACAAGGAAGCACGGAAACGATAAAGGGTTAGAGTTTCGCCGTTTCGGAAACGTTTGTATGTTTCGGAACACCAATAATGCAGGAAACATGTATCCCAACCGTTTCTGTGAATTCCGAAAATAAAGAAACATGTTTACCCAAAAATAAAAGTTTCAGAAATGTTAGAACTCTCGGGAAACAAAAATTTAGGATGTACGTACTGCCTGACAGCCTGAGTGGATGGCAATGATTCGTTTTGTCTTGATTATTGTTTAATTGTTAATTGAGTTAATTCTGTATGTGATGTAATGTGCGCATACAATAATATCCGCATTGTTTACTTTTAATTTCAATTTTTGATGAAGCTGGGAATCAATTTTGTAAATGCTAAATGTGGCTAAGAGTTTATACCTTTTAACTTTATTAAAGAAGTTTATGTTTTTAGAGAAGTTTATGTTTTTGTAGATATGATGCATTATTATTTGAAAAAATATACATATGAATATTAATAAAAAGAAGCCTATATATTTTTTTATATAAGGGCATCCTCATCCTTAAGTGTATTTAGGGATCATCTTGATGATGTGGATAATATTTTTTGAGATTATGGTTGAGATGTTGGGATTATTTGAAGAGATTATTTTGAAAAATAATCTGGTATCAAACATCAAAACCTAGATTATTCAAGATTATTTTCAAAGTTCAAGATTATTTACAAAGTTCAATGTTCTTCCTCCCAAATTTGAAAACATAATTAAGCTAGCTTTTAATGTGCCAATTCTTCAAATATATACTACCGCTGCAAATGTATACTACTAGTACAGTAGTACGTAGTATATACAGGATAGCAGAAAGCTTCGTGCCTTCACATCTCTTAAATACATTCATTCAAATGTTCTAAATTAAAATAAAATATAATATTATTAGCCATACAAATATAGAGAATATAATATTAATAAAGGGGTTTTGTTGTAATTTATTCATTAATAATTAACGTGGGTTTATATATATATTGCTCCGTATAGTAGTGATTGCAATTGGGTGTATTTTTAAAAAATTCAGTGTGTTGTATTAAAAAAACGTGCGAGTGCGTGTGTTTTAATTTATTTATGTATATATTTGTGTCAGTATGTAAACATAATATTACGTATATAAAATACATATTTTATTTATTTATTTATTTGTGTTGGTATGTATATTACGGAGTACATAATAGTGTGTTAGGGTAGGTAGTGTGTGAGTGAATTTAAGTGAGAGATTCTGAATTTAAGTGTATGTCTCATGAAAATCTAGATAAATAGAGATCATGGCAGTGATGTGGCAATAATAAACCATAAAAACCGTAATTTTGAAGATCATGAATGGAGATGCTCTAAGCGCTCACCCCACGTTTCGTGTCCTACAGTTTCGAAAATGCCGTTTCTTGCATTTCCCGTTTCACGTCTCACGTTTCTCTTTTCCGTGCTACATAGGTGTCCAATGTCTCCCTAAATCATCTATTCCACTAAATCTTGATGTCTGAAATGATTTACCACATCATCTAATTAATCCTTGTGGTGGGATCCTTACTCGGACCATCGTCTTGCGGGACGGCACAGGGCTGCCCTTTTTATCATCTTATTAATCCCCGAAAGTCTTATGATTTATGAATGAGGATGCCTTTAAAAATAAGAAGTTAGTTTTGTTCCAATCCAGCAAACTGAAATTATTTTATGAGTTATGACGGACAAAAAGAGTAGAAGACAAATAAAGTGGAACTGGAGTTCATCATAACAATTTGCGAAGTGTGATATGGTGCTATGGTATTTTTTGTTCTTATCATGTTTATATTTATTGACTTGCATGATATATTTCTTGTTTTTTTTCATACTGTTTCAGGGCATAGAAATGCTTTCTCTTGGTTCATTCAAGACTGGCGCCATCCTTTTGGTGAGTACTTTTGCTCAATTGCGAGTGCGCGCAAACATATTGTCAATATATTTTACCTCCTTAGACTAGGTATTTTCTTTACGGTGAAGAAGTTGACCGTGCAAATATTGTTTTTTTTTTGAAAAAATGAGAGTAACTTTCAATGCTATATGTATGCCATGACTGGCATTTCTTTATTACGAGGAATCTGTAACCCTTTTCTTTTCACAAGGGACTCTATGTTTCAATATGTATTTTTTCTTATTTAAATTCTAGTCTACACCTTTAGCCAGTTAAAGACGGCCGTATAAAATGCAGGCTGGACTTTTCGTATATGACATTTTCTGGGTCTTTTTTACCCCAGTGATGGTTAGTGTTGCAAAGTCCTTTGATGCTCCTATCAAGGTTTGTGACTGTTATTTGCATTTAACCACTTTTCCATCTCATTATCTAGGTGTGTATCAAGTATCTAACTGTTGTTTCAAATCTCGCAGCTTTTGTTCCCGACTGCAGATTCTCAACGTCCATTTTCAATGCTGGGCCTTGGGGATATTGTTATACCTGGTATAATCTCCATTTTACTGTGGCAGCTCTGGTTTTACATTTACCAGGAATTACTTAGTTTCTTCAAATCAATATGTGTGGGTGTGGTGTATTATTTGAATCAAATAAATATGATCCGTATGTCAAAAGTGAGAACCAATGTGATGCATTAGATTGTGGTTCTAAGGTTTCAAAAGAATTAGGAGAAAGAAATGAAAAAATGCGTTTGCAAAATTATAATCAAGTGCAATTTCTGCCACCATGTTCATCTTTAACGTTCAAGACTCGACTTAAAAGGGCATCATCCTTGATGGTTTTCGATTTGTTTTTCATGGAAAGACTTAATTTTTGTTTGAACTGCACCATATTAATGTGTGTGTGTGCGCATAAGGAACTTTTTGGGACCACCCAACACGCCCCATTGTAACTTGAAAATTAATTAACTAATAAAGCCAGCCATATTTTTTTTGTTTAAACATGTATATTATCTTTTTTATTTTTGCAATGAGTTTCATGTGCTGCATCAAAAATTGAATGGATTTACAATTCGTGATGTTTTACATAATGCACCATATATGCACAGGAATCTTTGTCGCATTGGCACTCCGCTTTGACGTCTCCAGAGGAAGGTCAAGCCAATACTTCACAAGCTCATTCATAGGCTACACAGCTGGTTTGGCTCTGACCATCTTTGTGATGAACTGGTTTCAAGCTGCACAGGTTAGTAATATTCAAATCTAACACCGCTAACAAAAATGCATGTGCTTTAGTGCTTCCTAATATCTTCATTTTCTTGACTTTGACCCCATTTTGTAATTCTCATAATATTACAGCCAGCACTGTTATACATTGTACCAGCTGTGATTGGATTTTTGGCCGTGCATTGCCTTTGGAACGGCGATGTAAAACCTGTATGTGTACATATATAAATATAGACGTCTATATTATGAGGCCGTTTGGTAACATTGTTTTTCGGCTTATCAGACTTATCAGCCAACTTTTTCACCAAACACGTAACTTTTGTTTTTGCGTGTTGAATTGTGTAATAATAAGAAAAAGTAAGGTTGAAGTTACTTTTCTGGCTGTATTGGCTGAAGTTACTGTAGAGGAACATTATAGCTATTTTTACATATAATTTTTTCTTTATTTTATTAATAAAATATATTTTAAAAATATTTTTTTCTTAAATCAGCAGAATCAACTAATGCACTTCAGCCAAAACTTCATAAATTTCAGCAGAATCACCCAAATCATTCAATTTTCGTGTTACCAAACGAGCTCTATATGTATTCATAACTTCTACTCCCTATTATCTTTGTATTTTGTTGCTTTGCTGATCATGCGTACCCAAGTGGTGCACAGTGTTTGTATTATTTGGTGATTCTTTTACTTTCTTTATGTACAGTTGCTGGAGTTCGATGAGTCCAAATCTAAGGCGTCGGAAGTTAATGAAGACGACTCCACCGCCGCAGAAAACAAAAAAACTGAGTAAATCTCTGAGAATACACAACAGTAGAAGAAAAAAAGACAATCCTGACTCGTTGGGAAGATGAGGCACTGATTTGTTGTTGTATCAGATTTTTATTCTTAAAAAGCACGAGTAAATATTTTCTTGCCTCTTAATTAGTACTCCGTACTACGTATTTTCCCAACAGCATTTCATATCATTCTTTTAGCATTATTAACTAATTGCTAGCTTATTATTTTATTTATCTGCTTTAAAATGAGGATATAAACTACCTGTTGGAACACATTTTCCCCTAATAATTATGACTTTAAAATGTTATAAAATTCTGGACAATTTTATACAAAGTCAACCCAAAGGGATCAAAATATTCAGTAAGACTCGTCTGAAGTGAACTTGTGCTCGACAGCTCGAGTGTATGATGGCTTGATCTAGGGGTGGAGTGGGACGGGAATCATGGGATGGCCTGACTCGGTACCTGACTTGGCACTGTGCAGGCCCGGTCTGGCCTGGTTGACTGGGATCGGGACCAGGAGGCCTGACCGGGTGGACCGGCTTGGGCCCAACAGACCTCAGGCTGACCCGAGTGAAGAAGCAGCGGACTACGGCATCAATATTTAGTGGACCGGCTTGGGCCCAACAGACCTGGGAAGACTTCTGGCCTGACCCGGTCGAGTCTGACCAGGTAGCCAGACCTGGTACCCCGTATCTACCTGGGCCGGTACCGGGACTGATATTTTTGGACCATGAGCCTGCCTAGTCCTAGACCCGGCCCAGTCTACCTATGGTTGGACTCGGGTCGGGCCACCTGGCCCGTGGACCGGCCTGGTCCGCTATTGTGCGGGACCGGGTCGGGCCTAGGCCTGGGGGTAGGGTGGGTCCGGGCTCGGGTCTCAAATTTGGTGAACCGGCCCGGCCGGCTCGGGCTCGGGCCCATGCCAAATTGTTTTTTTTTTCATTTTTGGGGTTCCACCCGGGTTGGGCTTGATGGCTAGGATGGGTTTGGGGGGGGTGGGGTGGGGGGTGAGGGGGGTTAGGAAAGCAAAAAAAAAAATCCAAACCGGAGGCCCGGACCCGAACCGGACCCGGTGGCTACCTGGGCTGGTCCCGGGTCCACCATTCCTGAACCGCCGGCCCACCCGGGCCTAGGCCCAACCCGGACCCGAGTCCACCCCTAAGTCCTCCCCTACGTTGATCCAAGAGGAGGTTACTGATCTGTTTGTTTGTAGACTTGAGGACCCCCACCCCCCTAACTGAGTTCGGGATGGGAATTTTCTGGTAAGGTCTTCCTCCTGCGGTCCTGCCCATGCTCTATACTGGTTTGAGTCCGGCTACGATTCTAGTTCCATTTAATACCTATTGAAAATTATCAAACAATTGGGAACAAAACTAGAATTGTACTAGAGTACTAGACTACTAGTCCCATTTTGGAGGAAATGAATCGTACACAAATTGGCCTAATTAAGATCGTCTAAATCAGACGCCGTTTAGGAAAATCAATTATTTCAATCATCATAGATGTAATTACTCTTGCTTATTTAGATTTTTTGGAAACAAAATCGCCTATATTTATATTATTAGTTTCATGATCGCTACATCAATCAAAGAAATTGTTGTGTGCTGGTTTTATATTTAAATATCAATATTAATTTCTTTTGAACATTACCAAATTGTTTTAAAATAAAATTGTTTGAAAATTTCTTTTGTACATTGAGTACTGTACAACCGAGTTATTAATTTGCCTCCAAATCAGTCTAGGTTTTGATTCCTCCCACCCGTTTTTGGAAAATGGTATTCATAGCCAGAAGCCAGTGAATTATCTACATTCATAAGCTCAATTGTTTAGGATGTTTTAAATTGAGAAATTGCCTTAAATATGTCAATAATTTTTAGATTTCCAAAATATAACGGTTACTCTCTCATTTTCCCATTTTTGGATGTCCCTCTATTATTGTCACATACCATATTTGGTAACATATTTGTGACTCTAATTCATTCTTACTTTATTTCCACTTTATCAATTCATTATCAACCACATAATTCTACTTTTCTAAAAAATCACACTACTCTCTTCCGTCGCGATATTAGGGGGACGGAGATAGTATGTTTTATTTTCAAAATATGAGTCATCACTGGCATGATTGAAAAAATACTACCATTAATGACAGTAAATACAGCCATGATAATGCCTATTATTGCAACCATTTTGATAGTTGATGGAGTATATGGCTCGGGAACCCCCGGCCCACAGACTCCTACTACTCCAGCGAAGGCCCGACAGGCCCAAAAGGCCCGACAGGCCCAAATCACAGCACCCAGAGAGTACCAAGCAGTCCGCACTACGCGCCAGGGGTGCCTTCGGCCCCCTGGCCGAAGGCTCCAAATTCTCACAGAACGGGTTTCTCAAGCAAATTAAGAAACTGGGAGAAAACGGCGAAAACAGTAGCCCTCGGCACTGTGAGCCCTCGGCACCAGGGTGCCATCGGTTGGAGGAGCCCAGGCTACTGCTCTATGGCCGAAGGCATCTCACTCGACAAGATATCCGCCTCACATGCGTACAAGATCACCGTACCCTGCACAGACGTCCCATCCAACAGCCGCATTAAATGCGGCCACATGCGGCTGCCAGCGCCAACCAGTTGAGGTGACCCCTCGGCCAATGAGCGCTTGACACGTGTCCCTGCCCAGCATTTATTGCTGCTATAAATAGCACCCCATTTCCCCATTTGTAACCACGCTGAAAATGGCATTCATACTGAATACACTCTCTCTCTACTTTTACTTACTTGCTCTGACTTCTCTCTAAGTTATTCCCCGTAATAACCCTTCGGATATATACCCCCGGGTAGATTATCCATCATTTGGTGCTCTCGTTGAGAGGTTGAACAATCGAGTAAGAAACCCTCCCCCTCGACCAAACACAAACACTAGCCCTCTATCAAAATGGTGAGGACAACACGTGCCAACTCAAAGAACGTAGAAGACAAGAACCTGGCCCTCGGCGACGTCAACGCCCCCGAAGCCTCTCACAGGGCTCCCGAGGGCGGTGTCATCGCTGGGCTGGAACAGGCGGCTGTCGACCTACGCCTTCAGATCCAACAAAATGCCCCCGATGCCCGCCTCGGCATCGAGGCCAAGAAGAAAAACCGGAGCGATGACCAAGTCAGCCCTCCGGTTCTCACCATCGACGTACAATCGGCGCTCTCCGCCTTCATCCAGACGCTCACCCAGAACCCGGGAGCCTTCGGCACCCTGGCTCCAGCTCACCCTCAGATCGGGGAAAATATCATACTTCCCCCTCTGCCACACCCCTTCGGAAATCCCACCCCTCGGGTGAGAAACGACGAAGGGGTGGTGGCCCAAGAAACGTCCTCCCAGGAAGTTCAGTCCCGGGACCGCCATAATGACAACAGGGAAAGGCCCTGTACTTCCGCCCTCAACCGGCTCGGAGGAGGGCCAGACCGCCGAGGGGTCCAAGACCGCCTCGGGGGGAAAGCACTCCAAAGGCCCCAGGAAAGCGGGGGATCTGTTTCGAGGGCAGACGAGGAGCGTCCCCCTCGGGACAAAGGCAAGGCACCCCTTCATGCCGATGATGCTCGACACCAAATCAACCAGGCCCACGCGGCCCATGTTCGTTCGCAGGGGGCGGAGACCCTCCCGAAGGATCCCCGGGACGAGATTATTGCGGCCCTCCAACGCCGACTTGACGAGATGGAGTCCAACAAAGCTCACGCCACCACCTCCACCCCTCATTCAGATCTCAAATACGAGGCCATGATGGCAAAAATGGAGGAGTTACAGAAGAGGGTGGCCGAGGGCTCCGGGGAACCCGTCATCCAGCTCCGGACTCGGACGCCATTTACCCCAAGGGTATTGGCGGCCCGGATCCCGGAAAAATACCGAGGGCAACACATACAGCCCTACAACGGAAAAACGGACCCCCAGGAACACTACAGCAAATACCAGAACAGCATGATGATGGTGGGGGCGTCAGACGAATATTTGTGTCGATGGTTCCTCTCCACCTTAGAGGGACCGGCATACGAATGGTTCAACAGGCTGCCCGAGGGCTGCATTGATTCGTGGCAAGAACTCGCCCAACGATTCTTGACACAATTCGCCGGGAGGCGTCGCACAAGGAAGCACTTCTCCCACCTCCTAACAATACGCCAGAAGAAGGATGAGACCCTTCGGGATTTCCTGGAGCGCTGGAGGACGGAGGCCGACAAGGTCGACGGTGCTGATGACGGGACCCTCCTGGCCCTCCTACATACCGTCCTCCGCATCGGTAACTTTTCAAGGAGCCTCATCATTGAACCCCCCCCCCCCCCCCGCGACTACATTAGGGCTTTGCAGCGGGGGGACCGGTATGCTGAGGCCGAGGAGGTGGAGAAGTATCACCAGCATCCGGACCAGCAGCCCCCGAGGGCTGACAACAAGCATAACCGAGGGCCGGGGGCTCCTCCAAATCGCCCCAAGGCTTCGGGACCCTCTGATGACCGCCCTCGGCAAGGCCAAGCCAAGCCCGGGGGAGGTTATAAGAGCAACCCTAAGACTTGGGCCCAGCCCATTCTCCTGGACCGCCCTCGGACACCATTGACGCACCCCGTCAGCATCATCCTCGATTTTGCCGAGGAGAGGGGTCTCGTTGAGCGCGACTCTCGCGCACCCCCGGAGGTACACACTATCAACCCTCAGTTCCCCTACTGTCGCTTCCATCGGCACCAGGGGCACAGGACCGATGACTGCCATCAGCTAAAGACGGCCATCGAAAGGTTGATACAAGCAGGGCACCTGTCCCAATTTGTTCAGAGCCCTCGGCAGGAGGGACCTTCTCATCCGGGGCCTCCCCGGGGGCACCACACGAAGGTAAATGCTTGGGTAAACCCGAATACCATCCCCCTCGGCAAGAAGAGGGAGATTGGAAACTTGGAAGAAGAGGAGGAGGAATACCCCCACTACCAGGAGAAAAAACGCCACATCCTCATGATCACCGGTGGCAATACAGGGGGCGATTCCACCAGCCAACGAAAGAAGTGGGCTCAATCGCTTTACGTGGGGGAAGTCACTCATATGCCCCCGGTAAAGCGACTGAGGGAGGAACCCATCACCTTCACCAACGCATATCTCCCTCCTACTTCTTCTCCTCACAGGGATGCCTTGGTGATTCGGACGGAGATAAACGACACCATTATTCACCGAACTTACATTGACACGGGCAGCTCCGTCAATGTAATGTACCTCAGCACCTTCAGAGAGCTGCATCTGGAGAGGGGGTCCCTTCGGCCCATTAAGACCCCTCTTGCCGGCTTCACCGGCGACACTATTGATTCCGAGGGG